ATACTATTTCAAATTATCTGAAGTATTAAAAGAGTTTATGAAGTACAAGTCTATTAAGAAGAAATTAAAATCAGATAGAAGAAATATACTTAGGAAGATTTCTAAATCTTTTTTAGAGAGATATTTTTCAAACTAGATCAGAAAGGATCAAGAATTTCTCTATGCTATGTATGAAAGAAGAGAAAAAAATAATTAAATAAATTCAGAGATTGTATAATAATTATTATTTTATAGGAGTATTCTTTAAGTAATTATTAAATTATTGTGAAAATTCATTAAGTACTTAATAAATAATTTAAATCTTTCTTGTATCTTATTTAATTCAAATTGAGAAGATTAATTTAAAATAGAGATATAATCTATTTCTTTAATTAATTTATTAGTTACTGCTTCTTCTGGAATTGGTTTCAAAATTATAAGATATTTTTTTTATCTACTTTAATCAAAAATTCAGATTATATCAATATATAATTATCATATTTATTATTACAAGAAATTAAGCATTCTTGATAAAGTTTAATATTAATATAATCCAAGTAAGTAAGTTATTATTTTTAGTTAGAACTGAGTTATTGATAAATATATTGAAATATCTCAGTAGCAGAGATTTCTATAGAATTCTCATAGATAATTTCTTGAGTATAATCATTTTTATACATAAAGTGAGATGGAATTGCTTTGCTGATTTTATTATATTTATTATAAACTTCCAATAATATTCCTCTTTCTCTAAGTTTATTAATTATTTTGATATTCTTTCTTCATCCTTCATGATTAATCTAATAGATATATTAATATTCATAAGTACAAAAGTATTTTTTCTTATAACTTCTAATAATAAATATTTTTTTAGATTTATTATATTTATCATATTGAGAGTAAGCAGGAAGATTCAGTTATTTTTCTCTGATATAATTATTATAAGTAATTGTCTTTTCTTCATTCATTTTGAAATATATTCCAGTATAATATTTGTTTATATATTTTTCATATTCTTAGCATCTTTTAATTTGGAAGTTGAAATGAATTTATTATAAGGCAGATTGATATAAATCAAAGCTTTATTTTACTTTTTTGTTGATGAAGAGTTCTTGTTCAACTTTATCAGTTCAGTCTTTATTTATTTTGAATTCAATATAAAAAGATTTATGAATTTTGATTATTATACAGTCAGAAAGATTATTATAATATTAGTAATATTGGTATTCAGGCATAAAGAGATTTTTATAGTATTAACATTAACTATTTAATCCTTGTTAGTCAAATAACTATTAGTTATTCCAATTATATTTTTATATAAACTTTTTATCAAGTTATTTGAGAATCTGGATATTTACTAATTTCTCAGGAAAATAGAACCTTCCAAAAATTAATAAAAAACAAATTTTTAAAGAAAAGGAGATACTTATAATCTTTCACAAGATTCTCTCTCCCTCTTCTTACCTAACTGTACTTGCAACTGTCAGACAGCCATCCATAAATTAATAATCTTTACCTCTTTCCTATCTCTGATAGAGTGAGTAAATACAAGATTTATAATGATTAAGATCAAGGAAAATTATCAAAAAAAACACATCTTACTGATATTAGTTATGATATTTATTATATTAGAAAAAAAGTAATTAGAATTCTATTATATCAAGTCATATTAATAAATATTTATATTGTCATAAAAATTTCTGTAAAAGTTGTATGTCAAGTAATATCTTATTTATCTCTTATCAAATAAGAAATCAATATTAAAGATAGAACTATTAACTTTAGATATACTGAAAATATCAATATCATTATTCAAAATAATTCAAAAGAAGACTATATTATTAAATCAGATTAGAAAATTACTCAACTTATATTTCTATAACTTGCTTCTATTGATCAACTTAAATCAGTTTCTACTAGAGAAAAACTAGAATAATCTAGTTGAGAAATAGCTGAATTTAAATTTACTAATCATTAAGAAGCTTATACCTATTTTCTGAAATAAGAATAAAAAGAAAAAGTTATTAAAAAACAAAAATTAACTGCTAAATAAGAAAGACTTTTTACTCAACTATTAAAAGATAATGCTAATATTTTTGCAATTAAATTGCATAAACTTAGTCAAAATAATCTAATTCAATATGAAATATATACTGAAAATAAATTATCTATTAAATAATAATCTTATAGAACTATTTTTCCAGATTAGATATTTATATTAGAAGAAATTTAAAGAATGTTAGAAGCAAATATTATCTGAACATTAACTAATTCTTGAACTTTATCTATTATTATAGTCTTCAAAAAGAATAGAAAGAAAAGATTTTGTGTTGATTACAGAAAACTAAATATAACTACCCATAAAGATATATATCTGTTATCAAAAATTAATAAAATAATAGATTTACTTGAAAATATTTATTAATTTTTATCTATAGATTTAATCTCTGAATACTGACAAATTAAAATGAAAAAAGAAAACAAATCTAAAATCACTTTTATCTTCAGAGAAGGACTTTTTGAATTTAATATTATACTCTTTGAATTATGCAATATCCTAGCAACTTTTTAATGAGCTATGGGTATATATTAGAAAAATATAATTAAAATCTTTAAGTTATATAGTTTACTTATAATAATTATTTCAAATAGAAATATTAAATTTATAAGTAGATTTTGAAAGTTATTTTTTGAATAACTTGAATTAAAGCTAGTAATATTAATAGTTTTTTATTTATACTCAAATGATTAACCTAAAAAACTTAATAGAACTCTTGAAAAAATATTTAGAATATATATAATTTATAAATAAAATTAATGAGATGAAAATCTAATAGCAGTTTAATTTGTTTATAATAGTAAAAATACTTTTACTAAAAATATATTATTTGAATTAGATTATAAATAATTATTTCATATTATTACAAACTATACTCTAAAGGTAAGTTTTATCATGAATATAATTTATAATAAGTTTTGAGGATGAAGACTGAATTATTTATAAAGGTAAAGAGGATTACAATTATTTTAAAGATTTCCTAGTATCAATACTTGCAAGTATTATATTAATACAAGGTAAAAATAAAGTAAAACAAAAATATAAAAACCAAATTATAATCACAAATATTAAACTAAGAGATGATATCAAAAACTAAGCAACAAATGCTTAAAACCAAGATAACAAATACCAAAATACAACAAATGCTAAAACTAAAGTAACGAATACTAATTCTAAGATAACAAATGTCAAACTAAAGCAACAAATACTAAACTAAGCTTTTATATATGAGAAAGCTTCAAGTACCTTCTAAATCAAATAAAATATACTTGGCTTATTTTAAGTGGAGAACATTCACTACCTAAGTTTTTCAGCAAGAAAAACTTGTAAATAATCAGAATATAATTTATTATGATAGAAAAGATAAATGAAAATAAGTTATCAAGACAAAAATCAAAGGAAAATTACAAGATAAGTATAACTCAAATGTTTTCAAAAGACAATTGAATTATTACTATTCAAGTATATTTATTTCAGATCTCAAAGCAAAGATATTTATACATCTTTGAGATTTTACAAGTTTCTATCTAAACTCATTTGCTACTCTAGATTATAATTACAATCTTTGGGGCAAAGTATCAATAAACAAACAAGTAAAAATAAGAGATAAGATATATGTGGTAGATTAAATAATAATACAAATGATGAAATAAAATGAAAAGATAAGATATATGTTCTAAAAAGAAAAGATAAAAGATAAAGATAAATGAAATTCATTGATGAACTGTTTCTAAAGCATTTCTGAACTGTTATCAATTTTGGGGCTAATTATTCATTGATGATCTTAGAATATTGCAAAAATATTGCAAGAACATTGCAAGAATATTATTGAATCATGATTGAATCCATAACTGATACACCAATTATATTATTTAAAATCACATATTTCTTAAAGATTGATTGATTGGTCAAATTTTCCAAGTTTAAAAAATTATAAAATTAAAGAAATTTATGCTACTACAGTAACAATATACTAATCAATATTCTTTTATTATAAAATAATATTGCAGTATCAAAAAATATTAGAATATTATGATAAAGATCACTAAAAATTTGCTACTTGAAGTACAAGATAGATAGTCAATTAATATAGAAATATAAAGAATTTAACATTAAAAATCAAATTCTTATTTTTACTCACAATATAGATAATCTGGTAAATAAATAAAAAATAATCAAGAAACTCATCTTAAAATTTATTGAACTCTTTGAAATCATCAGTAAAAATATCTTCTATTACTTATAAACTATAAATACCAGTCAATATGAAAATATATATAGTTTTATAATATTAATAAACTTGATAATTTTTTAATATAAATTCAATCTCAATATAATTTCAAATATTTTTTTGTTATCACTATTTTTGAATAAAATTTCTCAATATGATAGTATAATTTTGTTTTGCCTATATTTACTTATAAATAAAGCAAAAAACTTAAATACAAAACAAACAAACAAAAATAATCATATTTTATATTATAAGTATTTATTATATAATGTAAAAAAAGACTTGAAAATATAATATAATTTTTTATCATTAATATTTAAAATATATAATATATATAAATATTATTTTGAAAATCAAGATTTAACAGAAAATAATGCACAGCACATACTCAAAATAATGTGCGGGTGGGCATTATTTTGTGAAAATATGATATTGTATTAATAACTTTTTATTATCAAATTTCTGCATTATTAAAAAGAATACTACTTCTTAAAATATATTATCAAAAGGCAAAAATAACTCATAAAATATAATACTAAAAATAGAAATCTAATACTAAATTATGATGATTAAATATGAAAATACAAAACTATAGAATAAATATGAAAATGAAAAGTAATCGTAATATATGAAAATTATGCAAATTGACATAATCTTTACATAACTATGAAATTAACGATCTTTTTGCTACTACATATACTGTAACACCATGTTTATGATCTATATTTGTCAATGGGCTATGATTTGGAACACGACATTTATACAGGACTGTTTAAAGCACAAATGATAAATAGAATAGAAATTAGGCGAATTGATATTGGTACCTGAAATTTTGTTCATTCTCATTCACAAGTTTTTATATACATGTACTAGGCACTGTGATGAAACAGAAAAATGATCACAGCAATAGAAGGAGAAATCGAAAAAACACAAGCAGAGCGTATATAAGCGTTTTCCTAAATAAGGATAATATTCATTACTTCCCATTTTTAAGCAGTTAAGGATATGAATCCAATTCCAGAGTAACTTTACGCTCGATAACGAAATTCCTTTTTAAAATATTCACTTTTTGTCTGGTTTATTGCATATGTGGCATAAATAAAAACCTATTCACAACGAAAGTCTAGCTCTAACTACATCTAACTACACTGAAAATTGATGATGTTTTTGCCAATAACTTAGAGACTAAGCTACTTTCGTAATATTAAAGTATTCAAAATTAGAAAGTTGTATAGTATAATTAGTGTAAGTCGTGTACATAATGATAGAGAATATTTTTTTGAGTGAGGAATTGGATGATGATGATGATGATGATGATGATAACAATAAATGATAGAATATATGATAAAACGAATGATCATGAATAAATTGATAGAAAACACATAAAGAAAAGAAAATTTACATTTTTGGTTGTGATAATAAAGTCATAAACGTGATAGCTTGTAATGTTCGATATTTGCCCTAGGCATTCATTAAAAATGGTGGTGCTGTAATATTAGTAATAGTAATAGTTATAGTAATTAGTCGTTGATGTGGTTGTCAAATTTTATAAATGTTTTACAATTACTATGTATATTATCATTATTATTATTATTAGTATTATTATTAGATCTTTTGACCAAAGAAACGTCGTACTCGCCCATAAGTTGCGTATCGATTTGCCTCGGCCATAACATCTCTTAATGTTTTTTCAGCGTCTTTCACTTTTATACAATGAGCATCGACGCTCACTTTTAGTACCATACGAAATAAAACTTCACTTGAAAATTTGCCCAGTTTTGCGTCTCGTGTGTACATTGGCATGACCCGATCAACTTGCTCAATATTTTTTAGTTTACAAGTGTCTTGTAGCATACACGCTAGACCCATGTTCATTATTGGATTTAACTGTCGTGATGCCATCGCTCGCTGAACTATTTTTTTTTATGATATTACTAAAAGACAAGCCAGAATAACAAATTAATGGAAAAATCGAAAAGAAAAAAAAACTTACAATTCTCGGCTAATTTTTCTCCCAATGGCCCGGTATTATACAAATCATAATCTGTTTCGCATAATTCAATCCATCCGCCAGGTCGTAAAACTCGTATCATTTCAGGCAATATGATGTCCTTGAATTGTTTCTCGGTGAACCACATGCCAAAAAATCGTAAATGTACAAAATCAAAAGTTTCATCGTACGGAAGCCCTTTTAGTATGTCTGACGTAACAAACTGAACATTATATGGTTTTTGAGTGGGAAAGTATGGGTTTATGTCTACGCCGCTGAATTTTGCCTGTGGAAAGTCCGAGGAATTATCGCATACCCATGTGCCAGGCCCACAACTTTTATTTTATCATCATTGCAAAAGAGGAAAATAATTTCAGTTAAAAAAAATTATTATAATATTTTAATATTATTATTATTATACTAACATACCAAACATCGAGAACTTTGCCATCACCCGAGTGCAGAATTTCAAGTACAGGAGCCGAAAAGTTCGAATTGAACAAAGCTCGTATTAAATGATGTTGTGCTTGACTTCTGTCGACATAACTATCACCTTGTTCAAAGAAAGGATCTTCTTTTGAATTTCGTTTTATTTTGCTAGAAAGATTTCCCATCTTTTCTTTATGTGTGTATATGTGGATGTGTGTGTGTGTGTGTGTGTGTGTGTGTGTGTGTGCGTGCGTGCGTGTGATTTTCTTTTCTTTATTATTAACGTGTATGATATGTTAGGTTTTTTGTTATGTTTACTAGGTAGTAAACACTCGTTATTACGTATCAGTTTTATTATTTAGAATAGGAAAGGAACAAAAAGAAAGGTTTACAAATCAATAAGGATAATCAAAAATAAACAGATACTAGAAGAAGCAACCAGCAAAATAAAAGAAGGAAAGGGAAAGCCACTGATATTGGGCAATAACGATAACGGGCAACAATAAAATTGGTCAATGATGTGTGTTTTTTTATTTAGAATACTTTCTTTTATATGTCGATAAAAAGGATATTGATTAATTGGATGTAAGCATTATTATTGTGTGTGCGTCGCTGTCTCTTGCTTTGCTCTTGTGTTGATGCAGAAGGTCAAATAGAAAACATGGAGTGTGTGGTCGATATGTGCGTGTTTTATTGAAATCCATCACACAAATAAGCAAGCTAATTTTCGTTAATTTATTTTTTTTTTTACGTATTATAGTATTACCATACTACGTACTTGTGCACTTATATCAGTGCCAATCCTTAAATCAATGGAACCAATTATAATTTGCATGTATAATCCTAAGTGTTGGTTTCGGACTACATTCTTTATCGCTGTTTTCCATTGACGACTCGTGGTTTAAAATTAAAAATCAATCAAACTGTCTATCCCGCTATCGCTATGCATAGACTAAATAAATATATAAATGTATAAAGAAAGTAAACTGACAATATGATCGAAGAAACCTTGCAACTTTTTATACGTAATCCAGAGTTTTCCATCCCCGATACCAATACTATTCTCGTTTATTTATTGTTAGTCACACCCGAAAATTAAAAAAGATTCGGTACTACATTTGTTTTTATTAACTTAGCCGCGTTAGTAATAGCAAAAATAATGTTATTGCTATTACTATCACTATAAACTATTCATATTATAATTTATTATTTATTATTCTACATGTATTACTATTACATGCACTATTAATATCTTGCTAATACCACCACGTATTAGTCTGGAACGAAACGAGTACATGTCCAAATTTGCATTTACTGTGCATATATGTTTGTTTTTTTTAGAGATTTTAAAACAATGAACTTTTAGTATCATGCAAAATTTTTTTTTGAATGAAATGCGCTTTGATTTTACTTGTTCGCTAAATCACAGGAAACTATACAAATACATATACCTAACATACACATGTACATGTACATACATACATACATACATACATACATACAACATACCCTCCCCCAACACACACACACACACATTACATGTATATTGTTAGAGATTGAAAAATGCCTATCGTTACATACTAACGTTAAAATATAAAAGCAACAAAGCTATTTTTTAATTTTCCGAAATATATAACTTTTAATTCCTCGTTTATTTCTTGTATTCTTATTTAGAATCCGTATTACGGAGCATTGATGAAAGTATACCGATACAAAGCAAGATATCGTCTGTATCGATAGGAAACTTTCATATAGAGAGTGTGTGTTGAAGGGTTCGCTCCATATTAATAGATGAAAAATTCTAATTTGCCAAGTGGTCTTGTCTGCGTTTTCTTATTTACATAAACAACTACTTTCAAATTCCATAGTTTAATCTTGCGGGCATCTTGTTTCGCTTACACGTTTGATACAATCGCAATTAATTTTTTTACAAAATAAAGCTTTCTGTTGGCATCTTATTTCGATCGCAATTAATTTTTTAAAATAGATCTTTCTGTGATTCATATCTCGCATTGAATGGATAATTAACAAATAAATAAACACTATATGCGCGTAATCAGAAAATTTAGTTTATTAGGACAAGTCTACAACTGTTCCTGTGCATCTTCAAAGAACTTACTTTCCAGAAATTAAATTCGGTTTACGTGTGTATGCAGGTTTTAATTAGTGTTTCAGTTTAACAAGGTTGCGTCTGTATTTTATTTGAAATGTAATGAAATTATTAATTGCTTGCGTAGCCCAAATACTAGCGCACGCACAGATGAGATGAAATTCGGTATATTTTCAACCGCCGAATTCACTAGATGCTAACTGATTTCATTTGCTTTCAGTAATAATCCCGTATTCATTGCCTAACTTACGCCGAAACACCACAGATCGATGAATATCCAAACCCCAATAGATAGTTTGCATTCTCCAATCATACAATCAAAAATACCTTTTTTGAATTCTTTTGTAGCACAGCATCTAAATAACGGAGAAAAATAAACCAGTTTTGTATAATCTCATTAACCATGCCCTTAAAAATTCGACTGAACACTATGAATCAAATTTTTTCGGTAATGAATTGGGATTATGTAAAGAGATTGAATTCTATCTTCTCCGATAATACACAAAGATTTTTATTCTTTCTCTAGAGAAGAAATGTGAGAATCAAAAATTTTTCTTATATTGTACACTTTAGGCAAATTTATCCTTTAAAATTGAATCGGTAAAACTTTGCCAATGTCGTACTATGAATGTCATTCATTCATTCAACTGTTTTCGTGAGACAACTTTATTATAATTTTGACTATTTAATTAAGCCTGAGAAAGTGCTGGAAAGAAATTCTCAAAACTTTTAAACCATTATCCTTTTTTTATTACCACTACACTTTTGAGCCCCCTTACATTCTCGGCGCTGGTCGTGTTTCTGACCAAAGTTTAATTTATAGTTAGTCATTTAGACAATTGGGCTAATTCGTGGGCGATTATGTTGATTATTTTGTGAAAAGCAATCCAGCAGGAATATCAAACCCGTTAAACTACTAATTTTACAATTGGTATGTATTTCCTATAGTTCGGATTTTCATGGGCGTTACCCAACATGCATCATTTCTGAATCTGATTGGCTAATAAATCCTCACCCTAAACTGTAGTTTTTTGCGTACACCCTAGAAGATAGTCGCCCCCTTTATTGAGGTTCGTACAGCAACAACTTGTACGATAATAAAAATGAAATTTCATTAAGTTAATAATTTAATTAAAATTTAAATAATAACTTGATGTGTGGGAAAAAAATGGGTCGGTATTGCAAAGGAACATTTGTAATAAAGTATACAAATTTGAGTTGTCCTCTTCGTGTCGTGAAAGGTTAACTTTGTATTACTACTGTACTATTAATTGCTAAAGTTTGATACATAGTTTATTATAAATAGCGAAAATTTATGCGAAAACGCTTAACATATTTGCATGGGCTTCTTTATCGTCTTGAGTAGGAATAAATTTGATATTCAAATTGTAATAACATATTTGAAAATCTAAATTCATCGTACGATAATAATCGTTTTTGGTCATCAGATCTGTTTCTTATTATAATTAATAATACTTGAGATTATTTATCTAAGGTTAAAGAATAATCGAGACACCCACAGTGTTAGTGTTTTGTTTATACAATTATCATTATAGTTATCGTTATATAATCATGATTACTAATTTTATACCTAGGGCCGAAAGTCCCCAAAACAGAATCAACTTCCTTACTATTAATAATTTAAAAGCACTCAATGGTAAACTTTGTGCAATAATTTACACACATTCTTCCAGACAAATTAAAAGTAGTTTATCGCTATGATGATCCCACGCCCTGGTATTGTATTAATTTTCTTGTCACCGACATTAACAGTCAATGGCGATGTCAGGAGGATTCGATTTTAATGTGATGATCTTGAACACTAAAGATTAAAACTTAAATAATAAAATTACAGAATCGATATTAAAGTTTTACAAAAAGCTTCATATTTCTTCTAATTTATAGTTTGTCAACTTCATCAGAATCGGATAATTGTTGTGCAACTTTTATTATAAATAACGATAACTTCTATAATAAAGAAACATTGCCAAATTTAATCGTCCAACAAATAAAAATCATGATTCATAACGATAATATTAAAAAACTGATATACATGTATCAAGATAGAAAAAATCATTTTTGTCTTTGTTTAAATAAATAGGCTTTAATAACTTGCATCTTATCTTTGAAGTTGTCTAAATCCTTCTCTCACATCTTTTTCATTTTGTCGGATGATGAAATAAATCTTGATGAGCTTGAACAAGAAAAAGAAGAAATGAGACAAATAATTATGAATATATGAAAAATATAGAATTTATATCATGTGTAATTATTGATTTTTTATTAAGATAAAATTCAATATTGTAAAGAAATAATAAAATTAAAATAATTATGAAATTTATTCAGGACATAATAAGTTGAAAAAAAGCAAATAAAAAAGATTATTCTAATAAAGAAAAAAAGAATACTAGATGAAAAATTATATGTTAACAATATTATAAAGAAATTGTATATTTAAATTAATGGTTAGTTAAATATGTTAATATTATATAAATGAAATTAAAAAAATATTAAAATTCTTTACTTTTTGTAAAATAATTTCTAATAATAATATTATTATAATTGCTATATATTAACTGATACAAAAATATAAATATATAAAAAATGAAAGTTAATAATTGTTTCTAATAAAAATTATATAAAATGTAATATTATAATTTTTTGTACTAAATAAAATATATTTTCAAAGCTTGCCTTTAAAAAATAAAATTTGTAATGTTAAAATTAAAATATAAATTTCAAATTTTTGCAAAATTGAATTAGTAATTAAGTATTTAAAATTTAAAATATAATATAAATTAAAATTTTTTCTTAAATCTCAATTTATAGTTTATAATTTAATATATATCTTTCAGATTTTTTTGAAAATATTATTTTAATTACAAAGTTAATATAAAAATTTTAAATTAAATCTAATTATAATAACTTTATAATTAGAAAATTCTTTAAAAAAATTCAAATAAAAAAAATATTTCAGAAAAATTTCATTTTCTACTAAATTTTATTAAAAATAAATTTTATATTTTATTAGATATTACAGTGATAGCCAAAAGTAATACATCAGGGGCTAAATTT